GTAAAAAAATAATCCACTGGACTTTGTTTCCAAGTTTGAAGATGTTTTGCCTCCAATCCGGGAAGATTTTTCAATTCGAAATGTCAGATATTGCTTTCAGTTAGAGGCTTTATACAGTTGCCCAACAAAGCCCTTTTCTACCAAAAGGAATCCCTAAACTATATCCAAAGAAAATATTTCATTGCATACTGTTTTTTTTTTTTTGTTTTTTGGGGATAAAGTCCCAGATAAAAGGTACATAGATCTTTGAATATTATTTTCTCTCTTGTTTCTATCTATTCAATTATGATGTAAATGTTTCCTTGTAATGTCTATAAAACATTTTCTCTGTTTCCTTTGAATATTTCAACATGTTTGATAACATATTCATAAATCGTAGGTCTGGATTGCCATGGCATTATAAGGCAATTATGTAGGTAATCCCTGTATTTTCTTATTTTATATCAAACCCTGTGAATTTAAATCTACTTTGAGCCCAGAGCAGTGGCAACCAAGGGGCAATTTTAAGAAATAAAGCCAAAATTGCCAAAGTAGAAAGAAGAATGTTTTTATTCTTTGCTTTAATGAAGATTTTATTAATCTGTAAGTAACAAATAATTCATAATAGATTAGGAAGTGTTTGCTTTGGGATAAAACATTATATGTCTAAAACCATTACATTTTAGTGATGTCGGTCTACTATATTAACCGATATGATGGGCTGAACTAGATCTGCTATTTTCGCAAATTTTGTGAGACATTTTTTAATAAAATAGGACAATAATTAATAAAAAAAAGTTTATTTGAATTCTATAACTAAAAGTTTTCTGTCCAACAGCAAGGATTAACTGCAGGGCAGCATTCTATACCCAACAACTGTAGTATCTAGGCAAGAGTCATTCTGGTAAAGAATCTGGTTGTTATTTGAAATTGTAAAGGTTAACCTTTTATTTAAAATATAAAACTGACTAAAACATTTTCAAGTGTTAGTCTACTTAAACAGACTAAAACTATCACATATTGTAATTACTAAAATGTAACTACAACTTGTTTTTGTCCTGAAGACTAAGACTAAATCAAAAATGGCTGTCAAAAACAACACTGGTTTTATCTGATATGGGATTGGTTTGCTATATCGATATCAGAGCAGGAAATAAAACAACTTATAAAGCAACATTTCAGTAAGTCAAACCATTTTTCTATGGTTTAATTGCTGTTGACAGCTGCTGGTTTGTTAATTTTACAGTGCAGGGTTGAAGAATTTACTGTTATTTTCTGTATTTAAAGGTATTATTAAGGATTTCTGTGCAAGAGAATGCAAACGTCTAAGCCCTAAATTTCTCAATCACTATATAGAGCTCTGTAGTGGACTTTATTGCAAACTCAGTTAACTGACTGTTTGGACAGATGATCACTTCTCTGTTGCTCCACTGCGCTGTGCCAGCACCATCTTTGTTATTAGTCGCCTCTCTTGGGTAGCAGTATGTCGCAGACTATGGCGACAGCAGGCGCTCTAGCAACAAATCCCATAATGCTTTGCAAGGAGAGTTCTCCACACAAAGCATTCTGGGATATATCTGCCTGCTGTCTGAGGCCTTTCTTTTCTTCTCATACACTTTGTAGACACTTTTTCTCTCACAACCGCTGGCCATTTTCAAAGAAACACAGTGAGAAAGGTGAGCATCAGTGACTGTCTGAAACCGTAGCTCACCACACATAAAGTGAAAGTGCGCATGCGCAGAAAAATATAGCTAAAAGGAATGAGCAAGTAGGATTGCCTTGTGTAAACATATTAAATATCCTTTATACCTTAAACTTTAAAATGAACTGTGGAGCTTTTATAACCAGAAAGGGTTACAATGGTGTCGCAAAACTCCCCAAGTTCCTCATCCTAGTTCTCAGGCTCTAAAGGCTCCCCATATTATCATTGTTAGAAGTTAATGGGAATTTGTCTAAACACAAAGGGTTTATAGGACAAAGTGATGGGTTTAAAAGAGAACTCATTGTGAGATATTTTTGGTAAAAACTAAAGACAAAAGCTTATATGGAAATGGTGTTTTAGGCTAGGTTTGAAGCTAAAGGGCACGTGCACCATGACTTATCATGTGTTCCACTATCAAATGATGCATTCTCTGTTAAACAGCTGAAGAATGGCATAAGAATGACATCCACTGGACCTCCAAAAAGACAGTATGTAAAACAAAACAAAAAAACAACTTAAGGTGTTGAAATGTCAAAGACAGGATCTCAAACCCTCTGACATCCTATTTCCCAACCTTTCACAACTGAATGTGAGTAAAACCCAATTCAATGATGCAACATTGAACAAGGATGAGCCACATTTTGTCCCATTTTGCTTGTTACCAGCTGCTGGCTCTTTCATCACATTTGGTGGTCATTAGTTTCCCACGCTGCTTCTGCATTTTGGTTCAGCTTTTGTTTTTTGTGAGTCTAATTTGACTCCGTTCGTTTTACCACTGCGGCTACGTTTAGAACATTATAAGAGCAAGATTTTTTGATCCTCTCCTCACATATAAAACATGAGACAAATAAGACGAACTTTGTTTGCTATGACTATACATCAAAAATGTATTGTGACACTCCTCATGAAAAAAAAAGAAAATATTACAGCATAGATAGAAGAGTAATGTCAACAGCTGCAGTGTGGCAGCATTGAACAATTACAGATTAAAATGTAATAATGTGCAGTTAGGGGACTCACATTCAAAGCAAGTCCAAGACCTGACATCTGTGGCTGAGCTGACAGCTGCTTCAGGTTCTGGTAGAGCAGCTCATAAAGTGGCAGGTACAGCATGCAGATCCTTGCCTGTTGGTTCTGTCACATAAAAACAAAACAAATTAGCACTTCAGGTAAAATAAAAGGGAATACTTCCGCACAGTGGTTAATCATATTTCCTATATTGAGGATAGGGGAGATTCAGTTTCAAAGGGAAAACCTTTAAAATATCCCAAATTTTTAAGTCAACGACATCCAAAAACATAAAAATGTGAACAAATGACATAAAGGTCTTTAGCCCACCAATGGAAATACACAACTTCTATGTCTGTCCCCCCGAGAGTCTTAAAGGAATAGTACACCCAAAACATGATTAGCCTTCATTTTCTACTCACCCCCATGCTGAACAACACTGTGGTGTACTTTATTGA